ACCCCTCCCTCTCCCAGCCCCTCGTCGCCAAAACCGCCATCCTACCCTGGATTCTTGACCGAATACAGGCCAAAGCGCACGACGACAACCGCTCGTATGCCGCGGAGATGCTCAGCATCGTTTTGCAGACGAACCGGGAAAACCGACTCTTTTTCGGCGAGAAGGACGGTGTGGAAAGCATCCTGAAAGTCCTTTCGGTGAGTGCCTACGTGTTTCTGAGTGAAGAAGTTTTGGCGCACAACATTATACGAAAGCTTGCGACTGTGGCTCTCAAGACTCTCACTCTTGCAATTACGACTGACCCGACTCTGCCAGCAATACCGCCGCCGAGACCCCGCAGACGCGGACGAGACCGAGTTCATGGAGAACCTGTTCGACGCGCTGTGCTCCGCACTCGCGGAGCCAGAGGTCAAGAAGCTGTTCCTGGATGCGGAGGGAGTGGAGTTGATGAACTTGATGATTAAGTGCGTACCGTTAGCTTGTTGTATGCACTATTGCTCCATTACTTCTGCTGACGAGACGATAACTCGCAGAGACAAGAAGCAGTCGCGGACATTAGCTATCAAAACCCTCGACTTTGCTCTCTCGGGCCCAGCAGGGGCACCCGCGTGTGTCGCACTGATCGAGGACGGGGGGCTGAAGGGCCTGTTTGCGGCGTTTATGGGGAAGGTGCGTGTAGTGTATATCATTCGCCAGACTCTTCTAAACCTACCACGCGTCCAACCTCCTCTGCTCGTCTCGACTGTTCTTTTTGTTTTATTCTATTTCCCCGCCACTCATCTGAACATCCTTCCCCAGGTCGCTAAAAAGAAACACGCCGCCGAGGCGCCTCTGCCCCAAGACACCGCGCACGTCCTCGGCATACTCGCTTCGCTATTCACGCACATCCCCTCGGAAACGCCCGCGCGCATCCGGTTGCTGGCCAAGTTCGTCGAAAGCGAATATGAGAAGGCGGATCGGCTGCTGGATATCCGGGACGGAGCGGCGGCAAGGCTCAGGGCGACGGAGAAGGAGATTGGGGTCGAGCGGGTGGTGAGTGTTTTCCTTTTCTTTATTTTTGCTGCGATGCACTTCTGTGCCGCCAGCACGTTCGAACTACGCTGACGAAGTCCACGTAGGAACTAGAAGCGACTGGGGAAAAGCCGGGGAAGGAGGAAGAGGAAACGTGGTATTTGCGCCGCTTAGACGGGGGACTGTTCACGCTGCAAACAGTCGACTACATCCTCGCGTGGATTGCCATGGAGGACGATGGAGTGAGTGACTTTTTGTGCTCCTGTACTACCTTCGCATCGCAGCCAGCACATCGCTGCCCATATACCCCCCTTCCCCGCTCGTATCATACGCCCCATACTCACCCGCACACTACAGGTCCGCGCACATCTCGAGCAGATGCTCGCTCGCAAGAGCCTATCCCTGCGTGATGTAGTGGGTACATTGCGCGTCTATCGTGACAATATAGATGCGGAGGATTCTGCGGCGCGCGGGGAGGGGGAGGGCGGGTTGTCACAGAGCGATATTCTGGAGGGATTGATAGGCGCGTTGCAGACGGACGGGCAGGGTGGAGAATGAGAGAAATCATAGGAGGAGAAGGATTATCTGTGGACGGCGCGTACTCGTGTGTAACGATACCAGCAGAGCTGTATACATGCGCCAAAGTGCAAGGTACAGCGCTCGCTCAGTGCGTGGTCGACTGTGCAGGCTTGTCTGAACTCAAGAGCTGTCAAGGAGAACCTGCCACACGCCGACACGCAGTCTTGTCGATGATTTCCTCCGGTAGGTCTCACGGTCGTTGAATGATATGCCAGCCCTCGATGATATGCATGTCCACCAATAAGAAAAACAACAGGAGTATGTCGTACAATATAAGGTTAGCACAGGAATACAGATGCGCAGTGGCACACGGATACAGTTGCGCAGTGCACTACGCGCATTGACCCGATGTCCATCTGAAGCAGCGCGCGACAGCAGACAACCTAGAGCTTGACCTGCTTGAGGCCGTCCTTCCAGAAGGTGAGGTACGGGGTCACACCATCCTCCTGCAACGAATGTTAGGGAAGCTGTCTGAGTATTGAGTAGTATGGGACGCCTACGCGGTAGTTCAGGAGCGCGACCATGCCATCCGGGTTCATGCTCTCGCCGGTGTAGAACTCGTAGTCCTTAAAGTTGCCGACGATCTTCTTTGCGAAGCCGGCGGCGCCCTTCTCGAAGGCAGCGACACGGTCCGGGTTGGTCTCGGCAAGCTTCGTCTTGACGACCTTCATGTACGCCTGTGGGTTGTGTTAGCAATGAGCGCAGGAGATGGCAGTGGAGCGAAGGCGGACGGGCAACAGGGACTAATCGGTGCGGATGAAAGCCCGATACGCACCTTAAGATACGTCAAGAATGACTTTTTGTCGAACTGCGTCGACTGGAGACGGAAGGAGTGCACGACGTTGTTGACCTGGGAAGCGCCGGCCTCGAGGGCCTCCTCCTGCTCCTCCGCGGACGGGTTCGCGCCTGCGCTTGTGTATCAGTTCCTGGTCTTCGCACTCCACGTCCAGTCTACAAACCAATGTCGACGTCGCCCTCCTTGACCACGATCATCTGGCAGTCCACCTCGTAGACGATGTCGTCGACCTCTTTTCTACATGGTGCTTCAGTATACCGCCCAGCCGATCACGCCAGTCCACGCACATGGGGAAGGCGTCCGAGAACATCTCGTCGCCGGTCGTAACATCCTCGTAAAGCAACATAGCGGCTGAAGAGAGCGGGGAGGGTGAGGAGCGGGGATGGAGGAAGAGGCAAAGAGGGATATTGAGTGCGCCGAATCGATCGCCGCTGATTTTATCTTGGATCGTGCGCACGTGGTTTCAATAGTTTTCTGTTCCTCCCAACATTTGCACGGCCGATGGAATACGCGCCCGTCGTCGTCCAGCAGGCGCCCAGGCCGGGCCCCGCAGCGAGCGCAGAGGCCAGAAGATGGCGCTCGTTCAAGCACCCCGTATTTGTGAAGGAGTACGCGCCGGTGACCGCGGTGCACTTCTCGCCAGCAAGACCGCACCGGTACGCGGTGACGGCGGCGACTCGTGTGCAAATTTACGCGCCGCGAACGCAAAAGGTCGTCAAGACCATCTCGAGATTCAAGGATGTCGCACGGAGCGGGCATATCCGCGCGGACGGGAAGCTTGTCGTCGCCGGAGACGACAGTGGTTTGGTGCAGGCACGTACATCCCCTTCTGCCCCCTTCTGTGCTATTTCTCATCCTCCCCAGATCTTTGACATCAACTCTCGCGCCATTCTCCGTACTCTCGACGCGCACAAACTGCCCGTCCACGTCGCTCAGTTCTCCACCCTCGCACCCACCCAAGTCCTCACCTGCTCCGACGACACTACCGTCCGCCTCTGGGACGTCCCCTCCCAAACCGCGCTCTCCACCTTCACATCTCACACAGACTACGTCCGCGCGGGTGCCGTCTCCACCACAAATCCTGCTCTTCTCCTCACCGGCTCCTACGACGGCTCAGTCCGTCTGTTCGACGCCCGAACGGGCGCATGCGAGCTTGCCATGCTGCCTAGTGGTGGTGGCGCTCCTCCTGTCGAGCAGGCCGCACTCCTTCCTGCGGGCACCGTCGCCGTCTCCTCCGCCGGTCCCGTCCTCCGCGTCTGGGATCTGGTGGCGGGCGGTCGCTGCACACGCGCGCTCGCCAACCACCAGAAGACCGTCACCGCGCTCGCACTTACACCCGACGGTGGTCGTCTCCTCACCGGCGGCCTTGACCGCATGGTGAAGGTGTACGACGTCGCGAGCTACCGCGTCGTCCACACCATGCGCTACCCAGCGCCTGTGCTCTGCCTTGCGCTGTCGCCGGATGAGACCCACTTGGCGGCGGGTATGGCGGACGGGACGCTCTCCGTGAGGCGGAGACAGCCAAGGAGGAAGGATGCGGCAGAAGAGGATGCGGGGCTATTGACTGGCACGGCCTATGAGGCGTTCCTGGGTGGGAGTGCCACAATTGGACAGGGCGCAATACGCGCGAAGGGGAAGGCCAAGGCGGCAGGAGAAACGGGTGAATTTAGGGTGGAGAGCCGGCGGCGGCGACGCTTGAGGGACTACGACCGTCTGCTCAAAGCGTTCAAGTACTCCGCCGCGCTAGATGCGGTTCTGAAAAAGGTGCAGATCATGCAGAATATCTGTCATCAATTTACTGACTGTTCTTTCAGAACGTCCCCCCCTCCACGACCTTTGCCGTCATCCAAGAGCTTGCGCACCGCGACGGCTTGCGTACAGCCCTCGCTGGGCGCGACGATGTGTTGCTAGAACCCGTCCTTCGCGTTCTGCTCAAGCATGTCGCGGACCCGCGCTTCGGTGGACTCGTATGCGATGTGGCCAGAGTCGTGTTGGGTGAGTCGGAATTTTCTTTGTCATGTTTCGATCCTCTCTTTTCGGTATTCTACCCCATAGTAATTGTGTTTTTAGCACACGCATCTTTCCTTCTCATTCTCTTTCCTCCTCTCCACATACTTTTCCACGATCTAACATTCACCCAGAAATCTACGCCCCCGCCCTCGGCCAGTCCCCTCTCATCGATGCCCTCGTTCTCCGCCTGCGCCGCAAGGTTGCCGCGGAGCTGCGCTTCCAACGCGAAGTCGCGGGCGTACGCGGCGCGCTGGATATGTTGTTGGCGGGCGCAGCGCTGGGGAGAGCTGTATGAGGGGAGAGCGGTGTGGAGACGGTGCCTCTGACAACATGCTCCTCGCGCCGAAATGTGAGTCGCAGCAGAACGAGGTGGGGCGTCCACGCGCACCAAAAGTACCCGACCTTTGATTATACTGTATGTTGGCATGTACTCTGAGAGGATATCTGACCGGGTGTACTGGTAACTTGTGTTTGTGGTGTGTTCGTGTGCCATTCGTCGTCTGTCATTGCGTACAACTGTTCAATATATGTTGAACGTTGAATGACAGCCAGCTGAACCGTGTACCATTTTCCAAGTAAAATAAGATGGCTGCTCCCACTACAGCTCTTCGGCGGGGAGTCGAACCCCGCTCTCCCGCGAAATGCCTACTGGCTCATAGCCCATGACAGGCGGGTGTACTATCCGATATACTACCGAAGAGTTGAGGAGGATTCTGCAGAGTCTGCCAGTTTGGTTTGGCAGTGGTCTGTAAGTAGTTTCCGACTGCAAACAGGACCTATAGCTAGACAGTCTATGCTCACGAAGAGATGCTGAATAGTAAACGCTACGTACCACTTGAGCTCGAAGGCAGCTAGGGCCCTTAGGTACATCCACCGCGGGAGGACAACGAGATACGATTGCTTGCGTCAGTAGCACGGGACATGACTAGGATATGTTCTCGCATCTCCCTTTCAATCCGCTCACCGCTGCATCACCTCTAACGCCTCCCTCGCCGCCGTCTATTCTTTGGTCTCACCATGGCTTGACATCTCCTTGGCCTCTTCGTCGGCCTTCTCGCCGTCTTTCACTTCCTCGTCCGGCACCTTCGTCTTATGCACCATCATGAGCGCAAGCACGACAGGCATGTACCTACCGACAACGCGTCAGCAATCGCACCATCTGGTTTTGAGGATCGTACTCACCACAGGCTGTGCCAAAAGGTGTCTCTCGCGGCCTTCTCACCACCACCTGCTAGCCTCCCTACTACCTTTTCTCCCGCCTTGTTCTTGGCAGCCCCTGTCCCCAGTCCCCTTCCCCACCACGCAATCGCGCTCCTTCCCCACACCACAGCGGGTGGTAGCGCCGTGAGGGCTAGCCACCAGCTCGTCAGGCCTGAGGCGGGGACGAGCAGGGTAGTGGAGGCTGTGAGGAGTGCGAGGTACCGGATGCCAACCCTGGCATTCCGCCTAGGGTCGAGGACAGCCAGCATACGATAGCCAGCCTGCGCGTACGAGGCGCGAACCGTGTAGGAGAAGGCTGGATAGAAAAAAAGAGTATCAACATGAATGCCAAAAGTAATGTTCCAGAGTAGGCACACTCACCATTAAAGTGCGGAAACTGCCAGCAAAACAAAAACGCAAACAGTCCCACCCACGCCAGCGGATTATCCAACGCCTCCGGGCCCAGCGTGCTCAGCGTGCCCACCTGCAGCCAGCTTGCCACATGCACCGGCGCCTCCTGTATCATAGGCCACACTCCTGTTGCCCACTCTGGCAGGAACACGCTTACCGGCTTCCCCGCCGTCGGCCACAGCGCCCCGCCGCACGCTGTCCAGCCCATGAGCGGCGGGATTGCGCCAACGACGGCGCCGACCCACGTATTCCAAATGGTGCGCCGTTTGAGGATAGTGTAGGGCCCGGCGTACAGGGCGATGTTGGCGGCGGCGAGCGCGGCGGTGGTGGGGTTGACGAAGAGGAGGAGGGTGAGTGTGCCGGCGGTGCCGGTAATTGCTGCGAAGAGAAATGCATGGAGGGGGGAGATGGCCCGCCGAACGAGGGGGCGGTTGCGTGTGCGGGCCATTTGAGCGTCGAAGGGGACCTGGGGGCGGGTTATATGGAGAGTGAGTGAGAGAAGGGCGCGCCACACGCACCTCTACCAGCTGATTGAGCGCATTTGCGGAGGCGGAAGCGAGCGCAGTGCCAGTTGCTGTTGCCAGCAGAGTTGCCACGCTCGCCGCATACGGTGGAAGAGTATCCGCAAACGACAGCAACGCGTGCGCATTCGATTCCGCTATCGGCAGCGGGCAAAGCGCGACGGCGGCCATAGTGGCGAGTACATTCAATACGGTGAGCTGGCGCTTGGCAAGCTGTGCATATATGGTGACGAGCCGGGACGCGTTCAAGGGGGGCGCGGGTTTGAAGGCGGAGGCGGGGGCGGGGTGGAGAGCGGAGGCGGGCGGGAAGCCAGCGGTGAGGGGTGCGCTCGTCCATTGGTCGTTGTTGAAGAAGTACGATGCAAATGCGGGGGCCGAGCGCGTCGAGTGACAGCGGAGGCGCGCAGAATGGCAGCGCAGACCGCGCACGACTAGCGGCTGGACCCTCAACATGGTGGGCGGAGTAGGCGTGCGGCCAGCGGAGGCGATCGCAGTGATCTTCCGCGTTCGGCCCGGGGCCCGAGAATGCGAACTCGCCTCCGAGTCAAACTTTGGCATAAGTACTCTGTTTTTCAGTCCTTCCCAAGTCTTCGGTAGTATATCGGATAGTACACCCGCCTGTCATCTCTTCTGATACTTGCGCTCGCGGGAGAGCGGGGTTCGACTCCCCGCCGAAGAGCAGGCGATTATTCTGATGTTTGTTGTTTTTTGTCTGTCAAGATCGTTTTATAGTACGACATGTATCAAGAAGCTTAAGAGTCCGACTCTTATTAAGACAGCTTTCTTTCTTTGACTAAGATATACATCGTTCTGTCTATAGTCCAGACCAGTGATTGGCCAGTTACAACGCTGACTGCATGCGCTGTATGACCGGAGGATGAAAGGGCAATATGGCATGGGGCACAAGCTACTATGTAACAAGCTACTGGTGTAGAAAATGTGACGATGGATGAGGCGCACTTGAGGCTCGTTGAGAGCCCGGTGAGAGCCAGGTGAGAGGACTGCAGAAAGCCAACCGCCAGACGGCTCAACGGGCCGAACATGACAATGGCGGAAAGTGATTACGTGCACGTGCTGCTCCTGCCGTCCTCCGTCATGCTCGCCATCCGCGTCGGCCTGAGAGCGGCGCCTCTGCAACTGCGAGCGGCGCCCGGCCGGCCTCCGTCTTTGTTGTCGCTCGTTGCCCAACGCTCCTTCTGCGCGTCGCGACCGAGATGGAACGCGACTCCTCCTCCTCCTCCTCCTCCTCCACCTCCATCCTCACCCACGCTCACCCAGCGCATCACTCGCCTCCTCCGCCGCGACAAGAAAGTGGCCCCCCGCGGACCCACCGCCGTCGCTCTCGTCCGTCTTGCCAAGCCCGAGGCTCGTCCCCTCCTCATCGCTTCCGGCCTCCTCCTCGTCTCCTCTGCCATCTCCATGAGCGTCCCTCTCACCATCGGCCGCCTCATCGACTTTTTCTCCACGCCAGAGGCACAGATCCCCTTCGGTCTCTCCCTCACCTCCGCCTCTGTCGCTCTCGTCGCTCTCTTCACCCTCGGCGCGCTCGCGAACGCCGGCCGGGCCGTCATCATGCGCTTAGCGGGGCAGAGAATCATAGCACGGCTGCGCACGCGCACGTACAGCGCCGCTCTCCGTCAGGACGTCGACCACATTGAGCGCCATGAGGGCGACATCGTCTCCCGCCTCGCCGTCGACTCCAGCATCGTCGGCGACAGCGTCACCCAGAACCTCTCCGACGGCCTACGCAGCATCGTGCAGGCGGGCGTCGGCCTCGGTGCCATGTTCTACATCTCCCCGACACTGACCATGCTCATGCTGGCGGTCGTGCCGCCGGTGTCGCTGGGCGCGGTGTTCTACGGGCGGTATCTGAAGAAGCTCTCACATCGCACGCAGGAGGCCATCGGGGACATGACGAAGACGTCGAGCGAGGCTCTGGCTGCGCTGCGCACGGTGCAGGCATACAACGCGTATCCCAGGGAGGAGAAGCGGTTCAATGAGCGCGTATCTCGTATCCTCGCTTTGGCACGGCAAGAGGCCATCGCGTCCGGCATATTCTTCGGCAGTACTGGCTGGAGTGGCAACCTTACGGTACTTGGTTTATTGGGATACGGTGCGTGGTACGGCTGCCTGCGTAGTACCCCACTGACCTATCATATGTTCTGGCATCGCTTACACCTCGTCCATTCTACCAATTTCCCCACCCGTTGGATCCTCCCACTCGACTGCACACAATATTGTGCACCCCTCGTTCATGTCTTCCCCAACTTGAATCTCAGGCGGCACCCTCGTCTCCGCGGGTACCATCACTGTCGGCGACCTTACCTCGCTGCTGCTCTACACGGTCTACGTGGGAAGCGGGTTGCAGATGCTGACGTGAGTGTTCTGCAACCTGATATCCACGTTCTTCCCACTCCCCTCTCTCATCCGTGTCCTCCACTTCCTCCTTTCAGCTATGCCGGTTGCTTTGTACCTCGCTGACCCACTTGTTGATACTGTCCACAGCACCTTCTTCTCCTCTATCATGCGAGGCGTCGGTGCAGCGCAGCGCGTGTTCGACCTCCTGGAGCGACCACCGGTAATCCCGCCGGAAGTTGGTGAGTGGACGATTCATTGCCGTGGCCTTTTGTACTTGATACCGCTTTCTTCTCGTTGCGGGCTTTCTGTGGCCACCTTCTTGGGGACTACTTGCCGTAGTATCTTCTTTTGTGGCAACGTCGCCGCCTACCTTCTTTTCCTACTTTAACGTAAACTGCTGCACATCGACGCATCGGCTGACCGGCTACACACAGAGTCCCCTGCCCACCCGCGCGCAGCGGAGATCTTGAAATCGATTGGGGGCCCCGTCGATCCAGCGACGCTGCCAGCAGCGGCGACCGTACGGTTTGAGGGTGTGAGGTTTGAGGTGGGTGGTTTTGTCCTCTTCTTAATGCCAATGGTTGTCGATCTTGCTGCGCGTCTTCTTGGCCGGCGTACTGTGCACCCTGCGCCCTTGCAGTTGTGGAGCTTCGCTTCGTTCACCGAACCGCGCCTGCAATGTCCTCATATATGTGCTCAGGACACGCTTTTACTTGTGCTCAACTGCGTCCCTCCCTTAGTACCCCGCTCGGCCTGGCGTAGACGTTCTCCGCAATTTCGACCTGGAAATAAAGGCGGGCGAGAGTGTCGCCATTGTGTGAGTGGTTGGCCAGTCTTATGACGATGGAGCCGGCGCTGACCCATTTTTTCCTTCCGATCCTCGACTGCTCGACTGCTCACACGCCTTCGCCACAAACGAACAATGACCTCCCATTTACTCGACAAAATCGACAATAAACGTACTCTCATCTATTCTTTTCTACTTTCAGTGGCTCCTCCGGCGGTGGCAAATCCTCTGTGCACGCGCTCCTCCTGCGCTTCTTCGACCCGGTCGAGGGGCGGGTGATGTATGGCGATGTGGACGTGAGGTGAGCGAGTGGTGCCAACTTCCATCTCTAGGCCTGTCTATGACCCGTGTAGCGGTTGTGGTGATTGCTTGTTTAACTGCCCCATCTATCCCAATACATTGCTTGTGTACTGACGCCACTCTGAACAGACGCCTTCCGGTCTCCGCCTGGCGGTCGCGCATCGGTGTCGTCCCGCAGGACCCTGTACTGTTCACGGGCACGGTCGCGGAGAATGTGGCGTTTGGATGGGAGGGTGAGTGTTCCTAATGCTGGCTGAGGGATTCACGCTCGAAAGCAAGGGAGTGAGGGGCAGAAGGCTGATCTGCTTGCTTCGAGGAACTTTGATCATCTCAGGGACCTCTGTCAACCTCGATGAACGCGGATATCCGTGTGGGACACTGGAAACTGATGATCTTCGCAGACGCACCACGGGAAGCCATTGAGGCTGCCGCGCGAGCGGCGAACTGCGAGTTTGTTTGGGGCATGCCGCAGGGCTTTGACACCCCGAGTGAGTGACCTGTTGTTCGTGGCTGAGATGTCTTGCTGACCGTCGCTCTGTCTCTTTTCCTACCACCTTGGTATCGCTTGCCCAAAATCTCTCCACGCGCCAGTCTCCCGTCTGTCTCTCTCCGGCGGTCAGCGGCAACGGCTAGCGATCGCGCGCGCATTGCTCCGTCGGCCGGCGATTCTCGCGCTCGATGAGGCGACGAGTAGCTTGGATGCGGGCAGCGAGGAGAGGGTGGGTGCAGTGGTGAATTATCAGAAGCGGGGGTCTCACGCGACGCTTTCAGGTGAACGACGCCATTGACCGCGTCCTACGTGACCGGCAGACGACGTGCCTCATTGTGGCGCACAGGTTATCCACGATTGCGCGTGCGGAGCGCATTGTGGTGCTGGAAGGTGAGTGATGCTTCGCTACAATATGAGCTTCGCTTATCCTCATCTGCTTACAGGTGGCCGCATCACCGAGTCTGGCACGTATCGCGAGCTCGCGAGAAACCCCGATAGTCGGTTCCGCGCGCTGATGGCTGCGCAACTGGATGCTGCGGATGGGGGTAGGAGCAGAAGTGTGGATGAACCTGCACAGGCTGTAGAGGATGGTGAGGAAGCGACGGAGGTTAGGGAGGGTGAAGTGTTGGAGGAAGCGAAGGTGGATGAGAGGAGGAGATGAGGTACGCGAGAGGCGGCCTCTGCCTCAAAAGCCTATACTAAAAAGGGACAACATTTAGACACCATCTGCAGACAATATACATACGCTACATGTATCGTAGTAATGGGGAGGCATCACTGCTCGTTGGGAGATGTGTCTCGTGACGTGGTCCAGGAGAAGCGTGGTTGGCTTTGCGCCCTGACCCTTGCGGCCCGCACACAAAGGACATGTCGAGCCAGGCTTACAAACCTTCGCAGCCAGGCGTTGCTCCAACGCCGCTGAAAGGGAATATGACTCACGCTGACGGTTTTGGAACAAAGAACAGCGATCATGTGATCTTTCATCAACCAAGTATGAATAGGCGCCCGCGCGGGGCCATTTCCCCACGGTCCCTCTGCTTTTCCCCCCTTCACCACCGCTCGCATAACTTTTCGATACCTCAAACATGGCAGACCGTGGACGCGGACGCGGACGCGGGCGCGGCGCTGCTAATCCTCGCGGTGAGTTGTCGATAGCATGATCCTGAAAGGCGCTTATGTTCGTCCCAGGCGCCTCCCTCGTCGGACGTGGTCCTTCCCTCGTGGGACGCGGCCGAGGCGTTGGCCCTGCACGGGGTGGAGGACCTTCTGCTTCTTTGGCTGGCCGTCCGGTCAACATCGCGGAGCATGTCACGACGGTCGGTGTACGGGTGAGTGGCTTCGCGTCGATCCCTGGATCAGTGGCCAATCACGTTTCTTGATAGCGCCCCAATTTCGGCACCGCTGGGCGGACGATAGAGGTCATCGCGAATTCCTTCCAGACGACGTTGCCGGACAGTATAATTCATCACTATGATGGTGCGTGGTATGATTGACGTGAGAGCGTTTGTGTGCTCATTGTCGATGTTTTGTTCGCAGTGGGTGCGTGCTTCGAACGTGTATCAGTCTTATGGGAACCTCATACTTCATATACATGCAGTCATCTCCCCTTCGGAGAAGGTCTTGCCGGCCAAGGTCAACATGCGCCTCATCAACCATCTCCAAACCGCCGCGGAGCCCGCCATGTTCACGCCCCGAGCAGTTTATGATGGGAGGAAGAACCTATTCGCCATCCGAGAATTGCCCT